TTTGTGAGATGAGGTTGATAACACTGCATATTGATGTAAGGTCTTCTTAGTAGTACATAAACTGTTCACTTATTTGCTTCTTTTAGGAACTGCGACAGGTTTGGCTATGAGTGATATGTTCTCCTTCATTTGACCAATTATTGGCTTAATAATATAAAGATTACTACGAAAATTGTTGTCTGTTGGCCACTGTCATTATTCTTTTAGCTGTGCGATTTTATTGAATGTATCGAACGTCTGTTTATGGTTGCAGATAATTTGGAATTCTTCCACCCGAGGAGAATTGCTGAAATTTGTTGACCACCAACGTGCCAGTGCAGACCCTGATGGTTCTTATGACCTGAAAGATTCACATGCCTTTTCCTATGATGCACTCTCCAAAGAACTCTTTGTAGGCAATGTTTACTTGAGGGTCTACAATGATCAGCCAGACTCGGAGATCAGTGAGCCAGAAGTATTCTGTGTTGCATTAGTTGATTTCATATCTGGTCTGGTGAACAGTCAAACTGGTAGTGTTTCTGATGTTGAGAAGGAACTTAGTCCCAGCAGTTCCTCCCGGGAGGCATCTGAGATTCAAGACAGCCTTGCAGATGAATCTTTGAATGGGCAGCATGTACCTGTTGAATCGGCATCAGCCCCTGTCTCAGACGAAAAATCGACCGATAAGGAAGAAACTACTCTGGTTAAGAATCTTCGATTTGCATTGACATCGCTTAAGGTATACCCTTCACTTTTGCTTGTCAATTTTGTTGTTTAATTTTACTGGTATCTGATGGTTTTTCTTTTATAACAGAACCTTTTGATTAGCAATCCGAGCTTAGCATCAATATTTTCCTCCAAGGAGAAGCTGCTACCTCTTTTTGAATGTTTCTCTGTACCAATAGCATCAGAAAGCAACATCCCTCAACTTTGCCTGGGTGTCCTTTCTCTTTTGACTGCATATGCTCCTTGCTTGGAAGCTATGGTTGCTGATGGATCTAGTCTTCTCCTTTTACTACAAATGCTTCACTCTTGTCCTGGCTGCCGTGAAGGGGTTCTTCATGTTCTTTATGCGTTGGCCAGCACTGCAGAGCTTGCTTGGGCTGCTGCCAAGCATGGTGGAGTTGTGTACATCCTTGAACTTCTTTTGCCTGTTCAAAGTAATCATCTAATGTTCCCTTCATAAAATTTCTTGTAATGCAGCATTTATTTTGCATCTTATATTCACTCTGAATATTGGATGTGCAGAAGATATTCCGTTGCAGCAGAGAGCAGCAGCAGCTTCATTACTGGGAAAGCTTGTTGGGCAGCCAATGCATGGTCCTAGAGTTGCTATAACCCTGGCAAGGTTTCTACCAGATGGCCTGGTATCAATTATTAGGGATGGACCTGGTGAGGCTGTTGTATCTGCACTTGAACAGACAACAGAGACACCAGAACTTGTGTGGACACCAGCAATGGCAGCATCTTTGTCTGCCCAAGTTGCAACCATGGCATCAGACTTGTACCGGGAACAGATGAAAGGTCGGGTAATAGATTGGGATGTGCCTGAGCAAACCTCGGGAAACCAGGAAATGAAAGATGAACCACAGGTATCTTATTATGTGGCTTTCTACGTCCTTAATGTTGTCCCTATTATTGAAGCATTCGGTTTTGTGTTCATGGTGCTTTGGTTCTGTCGCCATGCAGGTTGGTGGCATCTATGTCAGGTTATTCTTGAAAGATCCAAAGTTCCCACTACGAAATCCAAAGAGATTCCTAGAAGGGCTACTTGATCAGTATTTGTCATCCATTGCTGCAACACATTATGAGACACAAGCTGTTGATCCGGAGCTTCCTTTGCTTCTCTCAGCGGCTTTAGTTTCACTGTTGCGAGTATATCCTGCACTTGCAGATCACGTCGGTTACCTTGGATATGTGCCCAAGCTTGTTGCTGCAGTAGCTTATGAGGGAAGACGAGAGACGATGGCATCTGATGAGATGAACAATGGCAGCAGCTATGCAGAAGACACTTCGAGTGAATTTGATGAGGGATCAAGTCCACCTGCACAAACTCCTCAAGAACGAGTACGCCTGAGTTGTTTGCGTGTCTTGCATCAGCTTGCTTCAAGTACGATATGTGCTGAAGCTATGGCAGCAACTAGTGCAGGATCACCACAGGTTAGTATCACGGTCCTCTGACATTATACTGGTTATCAAGTAGGCACTCTGAGTTGGTTGCTAAATGAAACAAACAACCATTCCTACTTTGTTTTTTTGGTCTTTATTTATTTTTTATTTTTTTGTGGTACAAATGGTGTTTTGAGGCAGTCACTTAATATGCTGTTTTCGCATGTCTTGGGGTACAGTTCTTTGTTGATTCAATCATCACTTTTGTTGTTTCTTCGGAAATTCTTGGAACTTGGTAGTGCGAAAATTTTTGCAGGACTATTCATCATGGGATATTTATGGTTATCAACTAATTTTTAGAGGCATTCATTATATAGCACCAAAAAAATGTATTCATACCCTTGGACTCATTTTCATTAATATTCTGGTCTCAGGTTGTTCCCCTTCTAATGAAAGCTATAGGGTGGCAAGGTGGAAGTATACTAGCTCTTGAGACTCTGAAACGTGTAGTAGTTGCTGGTAATCGTGCTCGGGATGCACTGGTTGCCCAGGGACTCAAGTAAGCCTTTTACTCCTCCCTAATTTTTGGGGCATCTTTTTCAACTGCATGTTAGCTCACAGGTTCAAGCCTGTTTTAGCCAATTTGACAAAGAAATGCTAAAGTTACTATAAACCTTTCTTTTGTTTCTGATAATTAGTATACATTCATTATGAAGGTCAAACATGTTGTCTGCATTGCGAACTTTAAGGTGTTAATCCAAGTTGAATCAATTTCTTGAATGAAATATTGGGATAGAAAAGGAAAATTGTTGGTATATGAAAGCCTTGCTCTATATGGACGGTCTAGATCCCCTAAATCTGCGGTTCTGATGGTCCTGTTATTTATATAGGGTTGGTCTTGTGGAAGTACTGCTTGGACTTCTTGACTGGAGAGCTGGGGGGCGGAATGGACTTCGGTCGCAGATGAAGTGGAATGAATCTGAAGCATCTATCGGCACAGTGCTTGCAGTCGAGGTAGGCTTATGAACCTTACCTCTTATTTCACCTTCTTGGTACTTGTTGGGTTTTCTTCTCATCTGATATCGGATTTTCACTGTGAACGGGGTCCTATCAGATTGTACCACACCAGGTGTAGCCTTATCGAATATCACATTCTATATGGAGTTTTCTTGTGATAGTAACATCTTTATATCACATTCTATATGGTGTAGCCCTTATCCATGACATACCCTTTCATCTCCCTAGTGTTTGCTCATGTTGAAAACATCTCCAATAAGACATTAAACCAGTTAAATAAAAGAGTATTGCATTGTGTCATAATAGATTCAACGCTAGTCAGTTCAACGTTATGATACCAGTACATTAACGATAGTTGTGTTTGCATTCCATGATTACTGTTGTTGGGTGTAGGTTTTGCATGCATTTGCAACTGAAGGAGCTCACTGTAGCAAAGTCCGAGAGTTGCTGGACTCCTCTGATGTAAGTTTTGAATGATTCATCTCTTCTCTCGTAAAGTGGACTTGTTTTTGTTTAGGCCCTAGTACATTTCTGAGTTCTCTGGCCAACTTCTTACCATTTCACTCCAGGTATGGCGCGCGTACAAGGACCAGAAACACGATCTCTTCCTACCATCGAGTGCCCAATCTGCTGCGGCAGGAGTTGCAGGTCTTATTGAGAGTTCGTCGTCAAGACTAACTTATGCCCTTCCAGCTCCCAACAATAATCAGTTTTAGCATTTGCTATGTTTCACATTTACTAGTCAGTCTCTGTATAGTCTCTCATTGTACATTCCCAAGATTTCTCTTGTTTGTGGTTTGGTGATTCCGTGGGTGTTGTTATTGGTATCTTACAAACTCTCATAGTCGTGGGTTCGACGAAGATTTGTGGTTAATCATAAGAGTGAAAGGGAAAGAACAGAGAGGGTGGAAGTCGTTTTTTCGGGTTATGTAAAGATGAAGCAGCTGTACATTTTTCATGGCGGCCGATTATTTGCCCTTTATTGGTATAGAGATGGTTTTGTGGGACTGTATGTTGGGTGGAAATGTGGAATAGATTTTCTGATGTTTGTGATGCTTTTGCATTTGTTCTTTCTAGCTCATAACTTACCATTTCCTTAGCGACTCAAAGCTGCTTGGGTTGCATATTGATTTTGTTATTTAAGTTGTTAGGTTTGTAAGATTTTGCACACAAGGAACTGATAGGAATTGATAAATTACATTGCATTAAAATCCATGGTATGAGGTACTCGATAATACCGAGACCAAAATCGACCCTAAATTCACAAAAACGTATTCTAAAAGTCAATCAAATTCAGTCTTGGTACCCTTTTATTGGCACTTCACTAAGTCAAGCAAGCTAGGCATCATATGCTTGGCGAACCGGCTTAGTTATTAGTTTGAAAGGCCTTCAAGTCATTTCATTCAATTCGAATGGCCACATGCTTTAAGATAAACACGATAATACAAGTCGATCCATTTCCTCTATGAATCGATTTAATGGCAAATAATAACCCTCACAGTTGTTATGTCCAATATATGACTGAACCAATACGACTATCCGGAGCAATCCGACTTCACGGATACTTCCATAGATTAATACTTCTATATAGACAACACTCATTCTTTATATTCCTTTTCTATGGATGTTAAGCGCACTTTGAAACTGAACCAAATGCAACACCAATGAATTGGGTGTGTGCTCATTCACAAATGAGCATTGAGCATGTACTCTATCGATCGACACATCACAATAAGCATAGAAAACCATACATACTAAGATAAGTGGTTTTTGCACAACAAATGGAAGCTAGACTGCCCATAAACGATGAATGCTGTGGCAGATATTATCCAGTCCTTGGGAGATGGAAAGAACCATTTCTCAAGAAAAAAGAGTTAAATGCCATATAATCTCATCTCTTCTTCATCCACCATCATTCCCAAATAATGTTAAATAGCTTGACAACAACACCTCTTTCTCATTCATTACTCTTCCATAGCACTGCCTTTCATATTTTTTGTGATTTTCACATTAGGAAGCAAGTAAATGCACTGCAAATATGACCACATTTTCAAAAGGGGACCCCTGTACATTTGTGTGTATATATATAGCCATGCCGAGTCTCGACCATCTCAACATAGAGAGTGGGACTGAATAGCCTCTTTAGCAAACCCACTTAACAGCACTTCTAAACACACAGTGAAAGAAAAAGTGGGAGAGAAGAGGATGGCACAAGACAGAAACATGACCTTGGTATGCCTCATCATGGCTTCATTGGCTATCACGGCAGCAACAGCAGCGACATTGCAGGACGCCGAGACCGAGTGTGCACAGCACCTCACGGATCTCGCAGCTTGCATTCCATATGTGAGCGGCACTGCCAAGAAGCCGACGCCCGAGTGCTGCCAGGACGCCAAGAAGCTGAAGGAAACCGAACCGAAATGCCTGTGCGTTCTCATCAAAGAGAGCACTGACCCTTCCATGGGTCTTCCTATCAACACCACTCTCGCCCTTGAAATGCCCTCTGCGTGCAACATTGATGCCAAAGTCTCCAACTGCCCGAGTATGCCCGATTTCCCATGTTAAATGGTTCTTTTCATGGCATGCCTAGCTAAGAAGTTGTGCTCACCATGCATGGTCTTTCTTTTTTGCAGCTCTCTTGAACATCTCTCCCGACTCGCCAGATGCAAAGATCTTCAAACAAGCAGGAGATTCAGATTCTTCTTCCACTGGCAGTTCAAGCTCCACAAAAGATTCCCCAGTGAGTTCTACAACTACGTCGCCTTCTTCTACTTCCACTGATTCCAGCTCGAAAGACTCGAAGGCTTCTCCTGCTACCAGCAGTAATGACGGCCAAAAGATGAAGGTGATGATTGGAGGGTGGATGTTGATGGCTCTTGCAGCTTCGATGCTCTTCTAAAGCTGAAACAGCAGTCAACTACGGCTCTTTCATGAGTTAGTAGCATCAAGGACTTGGTATTAGAATGAAGCAGATGAAGCATTGTCCTTCTGATCTATCGTAGCTTTGTTGCATTTGATCTATCAAAATAATACCAAAATAATCCCGTGCATTTTCTCCTACCTTGATAAGCAATATCATTATGAAGAACTACTTCCCTATCTACAAGGAACAAATCTAGATTACTGCAGAATCTCTAACTTGCTTCAGCAGTATGAGTTGGTTCCCCTAACTAACAATTTACAGTGAGTGAGTCTATAGAAGTTAGCAAAGAATCCATATATGTGCAACTCTAAGGGCAGGTATTCTTGCCTCTCGGCATGTTCACTGAACTGAGCTTGGAGCTGAAGGTGGAACGGCTATGGCCCTAACAACCATACATTTGCAGAGTGCACTTGATGATGGAAAATAATGACACTTTGAGAAAAAAAAAAAGAGATTGTTTATGATGGAGGCATAAATTTCAATGATGCAGAGTAATAACGAATCTCCTATAATATTCATGGTTGGGATGAATAAATTATACTAAGTGAAATTATGTTTGAACTATGAATTTTCCAATAGCTTGATAGTATGGACTCTTTTCTGTTACCAAATAAAACGTCATTGCATAAAAAAGTTGTGATTGTTGTGCCGTTGATGAAATGCATCCGATCAATGGATCAACCCGTATTTTGGTTTTCTTTTGTACCATATGAAAAATTTCGCTTATTTTGTATTGTTCGAGAAATAGAATTTGAAAATTGCTATTTTCTCATCAATTTAGATATTTTTTTTATTCTTATAATTGATATAAAGACATTTTTTATGAATAGATATATTATTTTTGTAACATGTTATCTTGAGCTCAAACAACAAAAGTTAATGTGGAATGGAACACTGGCCCTAGAATGGGTGTGAGCAGCAGAACAGAACATTGGGCCTAATTATTGTCCTTTTAAATTTAAGGATATCGTAAGCCCAATTTTGTGAACCTAAAAAGCCCAACTAGTAATCAATTACCCAATTACGTGTGATACAAGCTGGTCGACTTGGTCAAAGTCGGTTTGTTGAGACGCGTCTAATTTGACACGTATTACTTACGCTACACGGGTAAGTCGGCACATATAACCGACTCTCCAACGCTATAAGTTTCCATTGCTGTACTTAACCAGACTCTCATTGTCGAACCTCTCATCTACAGCTTCCTGAGCTTCTGCTGTTAGAGGCGCGACCGAAATGAGATTTTGCCGCAAAAGGGACCGCCGGCGGGTTGCTTCCTTGGAATCGTTTTTAGCGGCGAGTAGAGAGTGGCGATGCCTCTCTGGCCCTGAGACCGTGTCTCCTCTCGATCGGTGTTGGTATTTTGCAGCGGATGTCCGACGGTAGGGTTTCGTGGTGTTTATCGGTGAGGGAATCGTTATACTCTTTCTTCTTCTAATTGCTCCTCGTCTTTGCTCTTCTGCCGCATATGCTTATCTAGATTTTTGCGAAGCCCAATTCTGTCGCTTGATGCAAAGTTTGGTTTGATATCGTTGAAACCAGTTACGTGGTAAAAGGATGTGCTAAATCTGCAATTTAGTTGCTTCGTGAGCCCTAATTCCGATGGTTTTAAGATGCACGAGTTGTGGCTCCATATTTTTTCTTATGGTACAGAAATTGTGGGTGATCCATTCAGGGAATCTGCAAAAGTTGATGGGAACGCGGGTAGTTGGTGGTGCGATTTTCATATACGGTCTGTTGGTTGGTTTCTTTGACACTAACAAAGTCGGTGGTTAGGGGTTTTCTATTGATCAGGCCAGTTAGGGTTTGAGTGCAACCATGATCGTGTGCTCGTTAAAGATACAACCTTGCGAGTCTTTTGCGTATACATTTACGTCGAGAAGGTCAAGTGTTTTCATGAATATCATATATTACATGAATGGGGGTGGCCCATTTTGTATTTTGTCGCTTGGTGGTGAAATCCTTTCAGTGGTATAACTCCTTATGTCCCTTCTCTGTCGCCTAGAATTTTTTTATTCGGATGGAAAATCTCAGAGTTGCGCCTTAATTTGCTTATGAACGCACTAGTTGTGATAACTATATTTTGATGTACTAGCCTAATACCTGATATTGTTGTTGGTTGATGATGCCTAATTATGTCTATTTGGTTGTTTTTGTTGCCACCTGGTTGTCCTATATTTCTGTACAAATTAAATTGTTTCGTTCAAGTTCTGCCAATTGTAATCGATTAAGTGAATCTGAACTCTGCAATGTTCATTAAATCAGTGGCCGCCTCGTGTTCTGTTGTAGTTTGGTGACCCACAAATATCTGTTGCCTTCTTGGTCTAAGTTGAAGCGATGGTTTAGCGACTATAGTTACCTTTCTGCTCTATCCTTTTCTGAATGGAGTCCTAGATGGGAGCTTTGGAATAGTTAATAGAAACCAAGTACATGCATGGATTGGAGGCCATGTTTGAGGAAAGAAAGTTGTTCTGAAAGTTGTCCCTTTTTCCCTATAATTGAAGTTGTCCCTAACTATTCCAGCTGCCCATATGCTCTATCCTATTCAGTGATTGCCTTAACTAGAGTCCTAGATGGGAACTGTGGAATGATTAAATATTGATGAGAAAATACATGGATTGGTGGCCATGTTTGAGTAACATTGTTGTATGTCCGAAATGCCATCAATTATTTAATCATTCCAGTTGCTCTTCTGCTCTATCCTGTGAAGACCAAGTCTTATATAGATTCATACAAGGTGCCTTTGGATTTAGTGATTCCAACTGAATATACATGCATGGATTGGAGGCCATGTTTGAGAAAGAAATTTGGTCCGAAAGTTGTGTCCCATTGTTTCTTTAATTGAAGTTGTCCCTAACCATTCCAGCTGCCTATATGCTATATGTGGTTGCCTTAACTAGAGTCCTAGATGGAAACTTTGGAGTGATTAAATATTGACTGAGAAACTACATGGATTGGTGGCCATGTTTGAGTAACAATGCTGTATGTCCGAAATGGCAGCAGTTATTTAACCATTCTAGTTGCCCTTCTGCTCTGTGAAGACCACGTCTTATATAGAGTCCTAGAATGTATCTTTGGAGTTGGTGATTCGAACTGAATATACATGGGTTGTTTGCTCTTAAGTATTGTGTCTCTTTGCTCTATCTTGTGAAGAAAAAGGTCACAAATTGTGTCTTAGAAAGGGTACTTTGGAGTGATTGATACTAACTGAGATATACATGGACTGGTGGTCATGTTGTTGCTCCAAATCTTTTGTCCCTTTGCGTGTTATTATGAGATAATCACGATTGTTTGTTGACTGAAAAGAACTAGTAGGAATCCTAGAGGAGGGGCCTTATCAATGATTACTGTGGAAATACTGTCCATTATGTCAGGTTGCGTGTTATTGTCCTGCATATCTTCTGCTGGATTATTCAGTTGTTAATCTTCCCAAGTCTGACACGGAATTACAGCTGGAACGTGCCCGAGTCATGGAAGAGTTGGCGCTACTGCATTTGTCCGAGTTGGCCTTGATAAGGAGACTACCTACCCTGCCAAATCTGGCGAACTAGTGCTTTTGCCCTTTTCTTTTGCTTTTTAAATGCATTATTGAAGTGAAGAAGTCTTTAGAATCTTCAAACATTATGCTGCAGACAGTCCATGGAGAGTAATTTGATGTTGCTACTAATAGAAAATGTCCACATCCAAGAGTAGTTGATGAGTGAATCAACGTCTTAAAATTACAGTTATGAGGTTTCCCAAGATTCCATCAACTATGGAGTTCTCAAAGGTTGATTTTGGTACGAGTCACTTTTTGGTTGCTGTTGTGCATATCCCTCTTTTGAGAGTTGATAGCTGGAACCTCATGGGTATACGTATGAGATTTCCCTAGGGTAAAACAAGGTGTTTATGGTTTGTTTTCAAACATATTATTTGCAGCTACTGCATTGAACTAAAGGTTGCATGTATCTGCATGACTTCCTTTTTGAACTTGCAATTTAACTTGTGATTGTAAATGCAAGTTATTACTGGGAGGTCTTGGAAGGGTGACTTCACTAATGTCTGCTTAAAGATTATGGCTGTGACAAGCGAACAAAGTTTAAATTAGGTCTCAAAAGTAAAAGCTTGCTTAATCTGGTTGTTCTTTTGCCTTTTTGACACACATTAGTTGGAACTCTGTTGGTTTAAATTAATAATGGTTCTTTTCTTTGGGATTCAGTGTTGCAGTAAATTATTAATAGGAAGGCTCAGAAGAGGAGCTTAGTTTACTCATTTTCTCACTTGAAACTTTGTATTGTGACCGGGTCCTAGACAAAAATTAAGCCAGTCTTGGCTCTCCTTCAGAATCAGGGGACATTATGAGAATGCTTAAGTGGAAGTAAAAGGTACTGGACTAGGATGTTCCTTTTTGTTACCACCATGAGGCTTTCGTTGGGATTCATTGTTCCTTCTGTAGTTGCAAATTGTGCATGTTGATTGGGTGACAGAAATCATCTTATTCAATACTGGATTTTGAATAGTAAATCTCTAAGAAGGGTCCTAGCAAAGGAAGAGGGTTCACTGGTTAACTATTTTCCAATTTCAAACATAAGAAGAATCTTGCTGTAATTTGGTTCCTGTCATGAACGTTTGTATCTTATACTCTCAGAAATCAGTTTTTGGGAGGAAATCTATCTTCTCATGACTTGATAGAAAGATATTAGTCATTTACTTCATCTTTCGATCCAATATCATTTCGTTGATATCTGGAGACTAGAAACTTGGAAAGGGTTGTGGATAGAATTCCTTACTTAATAATGCAAGCTAGAAGTTATATGCTAGGGAGAGACTGTTCTTTTGCTTGTGCTTGTGTGTTCCAAACAGAATGCAGGTTCGCAAAGTTCCTATCCTAGACGGGTCGATTGGTTTCTCTTGTAACCATTATGCTGGATTTGTACTTGCATATTGTTTTGACATCATTGAAGCGACGCGTCTTGCTTTCAGGTCATTTCTGGTCAAGCATTCAAACCTTCAAAAGATATTTGCTTGCTGCTGGATTCTCACCTGGCGACACTTAAAAGAGGGGTCCTAGAAGCAATCCTACTTAAATTGTTCGGTTTGGCTTGGTTGAAACGTGCAAGTTCATTACAATTTACAAGTCTTGAGGTGGAGCTAGAAATTCTATTTGTCCAAGTGATATGATGCTGAGCATCCTGTTTTTGCAAGTTGGAAGGAAGATTCTTACAGAACAATACTGTTTTCTGTCCTTCACGATTTATCTGCAGCACCATCTGTTTCTTGAACTCACGATTCAATGAGAGCATGTTTTGGAAGGTGTGGATAACCCTACCTCTGATAAGTTTTGTTTCTTTGTGAGATTCTTGCGTACTTCAGGATGTCGATTCTTCTATCCTACTCTCGTTGTTCATTTATAATTTCCTTAGAACTAATTGAAAGTACATATGGAATCCTAGTCGTGACATAGTGCTGGAAGTGTAAACCTTGGGGTTGAGAGATTATTAATGAGCTTATACATCTTCATGAACTCTATCAGCTGAACCAGAAGTTGTACTGGGGCAATGCGGTGCGCTACTGCCTTCATTTTGTAATGAAATTTGATTCATTCCTCATTTATATTATGCGATAAAGGAATGTCCTCTGGTGTTCATAATGTGACTGTGAACATGAAAGCTGATGTTGGATCTTTGACTGACCAAAGCCATTACCTTTCATCCGGTCCTGTGTTGGTAGAACTCAAGGAATACAGATTCTTATTACATCTTACCACTATTTATTTCTGATAGATACCTCTTTCAATCGACCTGTTATTGTTGTTGGTTTTCTTCTGCTCTCAAACCCAACAAAGGATGAACCTTCATGTGGTTCGACGAAGGATGCAATGCAATGTCCTAAATTATTATACCTTCACGATTGAATGTCTATGAATGATCTGCCCAGTTCTGTTCTGTTCTATTTTGGCTTCGGTTCATTTGTTTACAAAGGGAATCTTGTTCTGTTCTATTTTGGCTTCCGTCTCTGAAGTTCTGAAGCGATGGATGATGAACCTTTCTCCTCACCGCCGGAGTGTTTCCGTCAAAGTAAAAGCTTGTAAGTCCGGCATCTCTCTCTGGAGATAAAAATCAATAAGCAGAATCCAATTCTGACTCACCCTTGTTTGATGTTAGCTTCCTCGACGAAGACTTTGGCTGACACAAGTACTAATTTTATTTCAGAATTGAAGTAATGAACCAACTACACAGAAGGAGCTCTGACTTTGACTGCGTTGTTCCTTCCGCTTCTGATTCTCCTCTAGAAGCTGTGGCCGGGAAGGAGAAGCTCCGACGTCTCGAACAATATTGATAATGGTTCTCCGCAGTCAGATTCTAACCCTTTCCGCCTCTTCCGATTGGGGAGTATGAAGTGTTTTTGAGTTTCACAGGTCCTGACACTCGTCACCAGATCACCGATGTCCTATACCATTTTCTGGCCCCCACCTGAAAATACGTACCTTCAAGGACGGTGATGAGCTCCGGAAGGGGGAAGGGATATGGCCGAGTCTAGTCAATGCTATCGAGCAATCGAAGATTTATGTTCCAGTTTTGTCAGAGAACTATGCTCCTTGTTGAAATCGTTAAACGCCAAGAGCAAGACATGGGTTGCATCATACTCCCCATTTTCTACATGGTGGATCCCAGGGATATACGACATCAAACGGGATCTTATCAGAAGGCGTTTCGACAACATGTGAAAACTTCCATGGGAAGGCCATACAAAGCTGGAAAGATGCTTTGAGTAAACCTGGAGCTTTGAAATGATGGCATGTCTGAAGCAATTGTGAGTACTTATTTTCCTAGCCTCTTGTCTACGTGCGTTAAACTTTGTTTGATAACTTGGCCTTGGCATTACTTATTTGTTACTTGTCCCGCTATGTTTGATATTGTCTCCGGTGCTGTATGGTCACACCTAAGTGAGAGCAGTTATGTAATAGAGACTGATAAGTTGGTGGGAATTGGTCATCATGTAGAAGCAATAAAAGAAAGATGAGTTTGGAATCTGGAGGTGTGACAATTATTTGCATTCATGGTATCGGTGGTGTTGGCAATACTACTGTGGCAACCATTGTCTATAACAAAATGTTAGCTCTCTTTGACCGTTTTAGCTTTGTCGAAAATGTGCGAGAAACATTGAAACAGAAGGATGGTGTTGGTGTTATCAGTTTGCAGAACAGTCTAATATCCAACTTATGCGAACAGACTATTGGATCTGTTAGGAATGTTAGTGAAGGAGTCAGAACTATAAGAGATAGAATTTCAAGATTCAAAGTTCTTATTGTTCTTGATGACGTGGATGAGTTGTTTAAATTTGATGAAATCTTTGGAAACCATGAGAATTTTGCTCAGGGGAGTAGATTTACCATTACCTCTAGAACTATGTGTTCTAATTTTGCTGTAACTATGTGTTGACATTAAACCTCTGCAGCAACTTCAGCAAGTTGTTTGTCTTCCATGGTCTTTCTTGCTGTTCTAGCAATTAGTACATTGAATTGTGCACTACTTTTTACAGGGAATTACATTTCCCTCCTTTTTTTTGTTTCAATTTATGCATGCAGCAGATGGCAAACACTGAAATTTTGGATCTTACTGATTGTCATTTCCTTACCAAGCCCCCCGACTTACCCAAATCTGAGAGTCTAGAAAGGTTATATCTTGGTGGTGTTAGAGCGAGGTCCGGGGATCTGGATATTCTGAATTTGAGGAACTTAAAAAGTGCTGCATCTGATGAATTATGAAGTAAGAAACATAACTGGGGGAACCATTGGGAGGCTGAAGGGGCTTCAGGAGCTTGATGTCAGCTATATTGTGTGCGAGAATAATATAAGAGGCATACTTGCCGATATTGACGAATTAACTTCTCTTAAAATCTTGAGAATGATAGGAACCTTGCAAACAGGAACTAATCAGGAGGAAGATGTGTGCGAGTGGATGAAGCTTCCCACTAGTTTGAAGGTGCTAAGTACTTCATCTCTAGTGGAATACTGTGGCTATGGGCTTGAGATCCCTTCAGCTGAAGTTATCCAAGTTGAAATCTCTATCACTTTATAAAACAAAGTTCATCGACACAAATCCTACTGGCCCTCCTTGTTCCCCGCTGCTGGAGCCTCTGCCGCCCTCATGTCTAACCAGCCTTCACATTTCGAAGTGTCTACAATTAGAGTGTCTACAAAGCTAGTAAAGTTGAGGTACTTAATTGTGACTGATGCTTCAAAGTTATGTGTGATTGAGAGCCTTGCTGATTTGCAATCTTTGCAACACATAACGATCATTGGATGCACATCTTTGGAAAGATTGCATGCTGTCTTTCTGGGTTGGAGCAATTGCGAAGTATTGAGATCCAAGGATGCATGAAATTCACTGATCTCTCGGCTCTAAGCAACCTACGGTCTAATGTTAGCGTTTGGCAGCCAAATTCTGATACAGATTTGTACGACTCAGACTTGAGCTCAGATTCATGAAAGAGCAGTATGTGATTCAGTCTTTGCCCTCTCCAACCATTAGATGGAAGCTGTTATATTACACTTTTTGATGACCGTTAAATCTGGGATCTTGGAGGTAATCACGCACCACTGTTTGTTATGCTGCACCTTATTGTTTGTGTTTGATGTTCAGACTGAGATCTTTGAGGCAAGTAGATTCGTAATAGAAATGTTAGCCTTCAAGACTTTTTTCTTTCCTCAGCAGACCCACATTATTGAGATGTACTTTGTGCCGCACGTCCCTTTGCAGAACTAAAAATGACTTAACGCAGTCTGAATACCAGAGTGGGGTACGACTAGGATTCTTGTTAGCAAATTTAGGACTCTGATTTCTTGTTGGTATATTGTCAACAACTAGAACTCCCAAAACAAGAGGTGAAGAAATGGTATATTGTAGGTGACAACCGATCTCAATGTTTAAACTTTAGTTGAACTAGATGCTTGCAGTCTACTCATTGTAATTAGGCGAGGCACTCCCTTTTGGTTTTGACGGAAGCTATCTGTGTTATTTTTCGAGGGAAACGTGGAATATGTAAGCAGTAGGAATGGCAATGGGGCAGGTCCGGGGCGGGTTTCTTAGTACCCAGACCCGCCCCGTGGCAGGTCGGGTCCAGGTCGGGTAATTGATCACGGGTCACGGGTCGGGGCAGGTCGACCCAATGGGTATGCAATTTATATTAAAAACATTAGAAATATTCGTTATTTTTATTATAAGACTAAGAAAACAAACAATATTATGATAATTGTAGTTAAATTATTGGAGAAATTGAGGTTTTCACTAATTTACAACTTTCTTATAGCTAAAATATGATGCAATAAAAGGAAAATCCTAAGTTATTTGACTAAAATTACATGTAATTTAGACAAGAACGGGTCGAGAATGGGGCGGGTCAGGGCAGGTCGGGTCGATAAGACTACCCATGCCCGCCCCGCCCCGCCTACGGGGCGGGTCGGACCCGCCCCAAAACAGGTCGGGTAAAACGGGTCAGGTCGAAATTGCCATCCCTAGTAAGCAGGAGTTGATTGGAAGTGGAAGGAGAGCGTGGTGTTGCTGTAGCCTGCGGCTGCAACTCTCGTCCTTGTCTCTCTACACTAGTAACTCGACTTACATTTTAAGAAGTTAGGTGATAGACTGGTTTTTTAGTACAAATTGAAGAAGTTTGGGGACTGGTTTTTATATTTAAAGTTTGGTGATAAACTACCATTTAGTACGCTCTTCGTCAGTTTGACCAACATTTCCCTTATGACGAAAGGAGCAGTAAGTCCTCTCTCTGTCTCACTCTCTCAGGGCTGTAATTTCCCACAACTGGGATTTGGTTGCTGCTGTTTCTTCTGGTTCTGCAGATTATCTATCCTTCTATGCTCTACGGTGTGTTATATTGGATTTGTGCTTTAGCTATTCCAATTATTTTCGTTCCAGCTCTCGATCTTTCCCAAGTGTTGGACTTTAGCACTTATAATTTACTTTTGACGATGATTCGTTTGAAAAAAAAAACAAGAAAAAAAGCAAACAATGCCTGATTATGCTGCTTCTATTTCTTTTGGGTAATGCAACTCATAGATACATGTTACAATTATTGTTCTTGGTGTTCGTAGCTGAAGCAGATTTGCTTTGTATCTAAAACGTATTTGTGTCGTATACAAACTTATTTTTTGGAAAGTTAGGATATTTTATCATATTCTGCAACTATAGATGAGTATTCTAAGATCTTTTTTCTCTCTATCCGTAGAGTTTGTTCATCTCCCTTTGAGTCCTGTGTTTATGTTTGAGAGAGGAAGTTGCTGCTCTGGACCCTTTGTGTGTTGTTATGATATGACATTAACTGTTGCCCCTTCAATGACATTTTGTTAGTTGGAAGTCCTAATTGGAGTCCTAGAGTGCAATTTTAGAAAGATTTAACAAAATACTAAAAAAAAGGTTTTGTCCATTATGTCAAGTTCTGGACTATCGTTGCGTCCATTTGTGTGTTGCTTTAAGATGATCATATGATCAGTTGCCCCTATGCTCCGTCTCAAGTTCAATCATGACAGTACCAAAAGTCCTAAATGGGAGTCTAAGGGAGGAACTTTTTAATGATCTAACTAAACTACTAGAGAATGCTATCCTTCATGTTTAGAAACACTAAATACTATACATTATGTCAGGTTCTGGTCTATTAAACTGTTCCGTTCCTTTGTGCGTTACCTTGAAATGATAGTAATTAGTTACCCTCTGCTGCGTCTCAAGTTCAATAAAGACCGTAGTGTAAGTCCTAATTGGAATCCTAGAAGAGAACTTTTGAATGATGTAACAAGAATACTGAGTCTGTTATGTTTAATATTGACATGAGTACTCAATAGTATACTTACTGCAGCTGCCCTCTGCTCCAATTTTGGGTGATACTGTGTAGACTTTAATTCCTTCATGGACTCCGCAAGAGTATCTTGCTACTATCATGGTTGGCTCTTCTAACTATCTAACTCATCCTAAGACCACTATCATGGTTGGCTCTATTGTGAAGTTACAATCGTAGGCTGAGGCAGGGTGTTTGGGATGTGTCCCATGACACAGGTAAGTTTTGGAAAAAAATTAACACATCCCTATATATATTTACACAAGGGATCAAATATTCAAATTCATCGCATTTATAGAGTATAAAAAGTATTTTACCACCACAATACAACTCAGTAAACGGTTGGGGTCTTCCTTGGAGACATCTTTATCAATTCATTAACGTACGATTGATGATATGCAAATAGACCATACACACACCTTCATGCCGTAAAATATTTAACGATCATAATGTTCACCATCGAAAATAATACATATTTTCTTTCGTTGTTGCAACTATTGCACACGCAATAAACCTGTTTGAGCGCATAAACTAATCTAGACTCACATAAATACACGATCCAATACGTTGAATTCAACAATCTATAACCTGTCGTATGTTAAGAACCAGTTGCTCCCAATAACTCGAGTTGTTGGGAGAAGGTTATACCGGATCATATACCACTCTCTAACACGCCCTCTCAAATGAAAGCCAACCTATGGGCTTGAAGTTTGCACAGACCCACCATGCCATGTGCTTGAAAGACAACGGTTAATATTGGGGGTCGTGGAGATTCGAACACATGACCTTTCGGTTCTAGGCTCTGATACCATGTCAAGAACCAGTTGATCCCAATAACTCAAGTTGTTGGGCTTGACATGGTATCAGAGCCTTCTGTGATCGAGAGATCTTGTGTTCGATTCCCGGTGACCCCCATTTGTTAAGCACATGGTATTCTTGTCTTCGGACCTGTGCAAATTGCAAGCCCTTGTGAGTAGCTTTCGTTTGAGGAGGCGTGTTAGTGTTGTGGTATATGATCCACTGACCACTATTGAACCTCTCCCAACAACTCGAGTTATTGGGATCAACTGGTTCTTGACATCGTATAACCGGGCTCTTCTTTGAGCTAGCAGATTTTAAAAGTGATGATCCTTAAACCCATGACCCACATGGCATTTGAGTGTATATTATACTTACTAGGTCACCTAAAAAAATGAAAGTTTTCTTTTTTTATTTGATTGAGGAATCAAATAGTCACAAAATGAGGGAGAAAAGTTCGATGGAGTGCCGCCGTCTAGATCGTGATCACCGCGTCCTTCCGCGACAAGTCTATTATTTAGTACAATAACATGGGCGTTGGCGTTGTCCGGCACGGCAGGCCGACCTCGTTCTCCCGTTAAATATGGCAGCAAGCCAAGGAAAGCCTGTACACCACAACTGAAAACGACACAACTTTGGCGATAATTCATTCCTCACCATGCAAAACTGATAACCCTTACGCGATTAATTAGCTCTAATTAACCTTAATTAACTTGTTTAGAAAGAAGTGAAAGGGATCGGATCATCGGAACGAAGCGGAATCTGTGGAATGAAGTATTTCGCGGTCTTCATGAAACCG